ACTTTACCTTACCTGGTTGGAAAGTCATTAACTGTTATCTCCAGCTATGCAACGACACAGGGAGTTCACTAAAACAGAGTGAACGGTTAAATCTGAGGCACAAGATGCAAGAAGAACGTTCCAACGGTTTTTCTGATTATGCTTATATAAATGAGTCATTGGCCAATTAATTCTGAGGAAAGTATAGACACAGTAAACAAACATGAGATGAGATGAGAAGGCAGCCAGCCTCCGCTGTTTTGTACCATGCTTCAAACAGCACAGTCAGAGGTAAGGATTTTCAATGGGGATTATGTATTTCCATACATATTTATGTATTTACACAGTTCAGTAAATCTCTCAGCGCTTTTTTTTGTCATTTTCCAGCTTTTACTTTTAGACCTTTCCACAAAAGTTGGAGACTGAGATGCTGTTAGGGTAAGTGAGGGACTTCAAATGGTAATGTGATGTGCAGTCAATGCACAGAATCTATAAAAATCTGAATAAAAAGATGAACGCAATTTGGTTCCTCTGAGAATTCTCGGTGCAGCTTCGTCACGGCAGATTAGTGGTCGTCTCTGTATTGTTGCTTTACAGCTTCAAGCTCTTCAGACAAATGATTCATCTCTGCAGTTTGTATATAGCACAGTTTGTATATAGTTTCCTGACTGTACCTCCGTGTTGTTGGCTGGGACCGTATCCAAAGACTCCAACTGCAAAGTTTAGACACACACAGACAAAATTTTGTTAACGTAATTGGACGAACCCACGGGGGAGACCCTTACCGAAATTGAGCAGTGGGCGCCTGGTGACCTCTGAACACACCTCCTCTGCACTCTGTACATTGATATCCTTTGAGTACACACAACAGACTATACATAGCGACTTTATTAGATTTGTCCAAGAGCGAAGACACATTGCTGCAATAGAGGAGACAATACTACATGTCCCTGAGGTTTTTCTTATTGAATTAATTAGAAATTCATTCAGGAATAGAAGCCATGTAAACACAATATCAAATCAAAATCAATCAAGTCTTGAAATTAGATTTTGTTGAGGGCCTCACAGAACAAAAACATCACAATGCAGGACCTGCCCTGAAGGTGCAACACTTTGACAAATACACAATTTCAGTACCTGCGCGAAACGACGCACCAGATAATGTGTTTTCTTATAAGGAACTGTTAATCCAGTAATATGGGTTTCATTGTTTTATTTCAGATTCAGTTCAGATTCAAATTCACTTTCAGGTTGCTGTGAACGTTTATTTTTTAAAAGTGTATGCACCTGACCGACACGTGTCTTGAATACAGCAGGTCAAGCAAACTTTTATTGTCACTGATCCACAAAATAAGAATACGGATGAATAAAATGTCGCTTATGCTTCTGTCAGCAAGAAACGCGACATAAAAATGGAACCGAGTGATAATGCAAAGCATCACAGTCAGCAGGTGCAGGAGGGGCTGCGAGCATGTGTGCCACCACCTTATTTTATTTATGAATGAATTCTTATAGGAGGTGTACCTTTGTATTTGAACCTGTCATCACCATCTTCATATTTAACTTGTTATCAAAAGCTGATCTCAATGATAAAAACAAAGACACTAAATCTAATAGTAACTTACTTTAGTAAAGTGCCATTTTTACTTATTGTGCTAAAAGCAATGGGCACAATTAAATCATCAAACCATGATGTGACTCGTTGATGAAATTACTTTGTGTACGTCAAGTATTTTTCATTCTGCAGTTTATCTAATTACCAGAAAGCGTTTTGGGATTCTTCAGCTCACTGTTGTGGTTTTACAGCCCATGACTTTATTTATTCTTGTTCTCTCCAAACACATCTCTTATATTTAAGCTACAAGACTTACTGTGCGCTTTACCTGTCCATCATTAAACAGCAGACAAACCAAGCTAGCACTTAGAAGTTGGGACTAAACTAGAGCTAAAGAGATTGAATTTAAAACGTACAAATAAGCTTTACTCCAAACACAAATGTGATATATGTACCAGATTAATACGATTGATTCTGCATTAACACTCACATGTACTGCTCTCAAATAAATTCACATTCAACGTCGTGTTCTTCTCAGTTTGGTCCTTCAGCATCTGGTGCAGCTCCACACAAACACACGCATTTCCGTGAGGGAAAGATTTTCCGCCTCCCACTGGCGGTCACAGGTTCACAGACCACCAACATGAACACAAAGCAGAACTATGACCCACTGTTGAACGCATTGCGTGTAGAAAGAACTATACCAGTTTATCCCACCTTGGCCTCGTTAAGTCGGGTCTTCAGGTTGCTTTTCTCGGCCTCCAACCTGGTGACAACAAGACATAACTTTAAGCCAAGGAGAGAAGGAACAGGGAGACACATCACACAATAATATATTACTATCTTAACAAATGTACAAAGTAAAAATAAAGAAGAAGATAAAACTAATAGTAATTTCACCTCTTTGTACAGTTCTAGCAGTTGTTGAATGCACCTGATGTTCTGAAACCTCCCCCTCCTTTTCCTTCCGGGCCGTGCTCTGCTCCACCTGCAGCCTCACGATGGATGTTTTTCGTATATTCGACAATTCCAGGGTTCAAAAATTATAATTGCATCATCACTGTTTAATTGCAGATGATTATTTAAGTTGGCTGTGTTCGCAGCAGAATGATGCAAAGAAAAAGGCAAAAACTTAAAGAATATCCTGTCAGAGATGGATGGCAGACACTGAATTTGATTTCCAATAAAGGACAACTATCATATATCAGTCTGAGACACAGTAAACCAATATATCTGTCTGATCCTACTCTTCTCAAATGTTAATAATTCTCCTCCTCCACTAACGTGCTCGTTCTCTATGAGACATTGAACTTGGAGAATTAAGATAAAAGCGAGAGAAGATGTGGAACAGATGCTGCAGATTATCTAAAGCATGAATCAGTCTGCTGGATCTGACGGTGAGTTTAAATAAAAAGTCATATTTCTGTGAATCCTCGTGGTCCATATGTTTGTCCTGTATCTGGAAATAATATGAGATGTGTGTTATTCCTTATTTTCTGATTATTTTATTTTGTCCAAGTAAAAAATATGAACAAATGTATGATCATAAAAACTTTGAAGAGCTTAAGATTTTCACAGTTCAGTCTTTGGAAAGTAAAACATATTTTAGTTTTCAGTTACATTTGCTTTGAAACAAAGCACTTAACTGTAATTTCCTGAATTTCAAGATATTTTTAAAGCCAAAAGAAGCTGATGTTTCAGTTTCATTCAATATTAGAGCAGTAAAGTCCATTTATAAACTGTGGTTCTATTTACAGTGTATTAATACTCAGTTTTGTCTGTAAAGTTTCACAGTATTGTATGTCTCAGTAACCTCAGTTGCAAAGTTTCATCTGGATTTTCTAGATTTTCTGAACTTGAAGGTCAACTTTAAATAAACAGTTAAGAGACTCGCAGCTCCTTCTGCAGACTAACTTGATCTGTTAGCGCCACCTGCAGGTGAGTCTGCTTTCATAGTTTACAGCTTCTGAGAATTTCTTTCTTATCCAGGCAAAATGATTCTACGACGAAACAACTAAATTGATATTTTGAACAAATCAAGTGGAATCAAACTCAGCCCTGGTAAAGAGAATGAGAAATGTGTCTTTATACAGGGAGCATAAACAAAATCATATAAAAAGGAACTTCTTTATGCTAACTTCTGTCTCTCTCTCTCTCTTCGTCTCTGTCTCTCTCTCTGTTTCTCTGAGTAAGTGAAGTGTAAGTATGCTGGAGTCGGGGCAGAACACAGAACACCACCTAGTCAAGCCCCTTCATATATTCTGCCAGATCGTAGACTCAGCTCCCTGCACCTCGAGCACCTTATTACATTTTTTGGGGGATTTTTCTTAGTCTAGTATTTTGACCTTGACTCATCGTGTTCTCCTTTTTTTCCTCGGTCCCTGTCGCCCTGAATCACTCTGGCAACACCGCTCAGCTGCTCACTTGGAACCCCATCTCTCTTCTCCCTCCTGGTTTTCATCGACACCCCCCTGACATCACCTTCCTCTCTGGCTGCAGTATTTACAATAAAAACCCTGAACTCATCAGCCGTCTCCTGCTCTGTCTGCACTAGTAGAGTTGTAGAGTTGGAGGATCACAGGGAAACACACAGAGAAGCAACAATTACCAACAAACTACTTTTACAGAAATGAGTTGAACCTGAAACTGGCTTCCAGGGCCCTCACCTGACACACCGAGTGTCTCTGCTTGTTTCAGACCGAGACAGACACACACACAGGAACCTGTCTGTTGTTTGAACTGCTGACAGAGCTCCTCAGGTGTCTGCCTCTGTCTCTCTCTTCAGTTGCTGGTTCTCACCTCCACACACAAGATCTGATGATCTGACAGCAGCAGCAGCAGCAGCAGCAGCGGCTCAGCCTGGAACAGACAGCATGTCCACTGCTGTTCAAACACAGTGAGCTGCTTCACCATGTCTCCTCTTCTTCCCCACCTGGCTCTCCGTCTCCTCGCTACCCGCTGCAGGAGCCTGCTGTGACAACTCATGGCTTCAGCGGGGCGGCAGACTCGCTGACCTGATATCTTCTGTTATTTATGAAGTTATGTCATTTATTTATCCAGAAACCACTGAGCGTGTGCGGATCTGCTCATATAAGTAGATTTCTTCATCAGAGATGTAAATGTTTGCATGACATTTGAATCCAGTCAATATCAGTATACAGTATCCTGTGTATTAGTATACAGTATCCTGTGTATTCGTTTGTAGTATTTGCTGCAGATTGTCTCACTCGTCCTCTTTTTTTTAGTCCAGCTCAGCGCTTCACAAACTCACATTGCATTTCTTTTCATACTCTGTGCAATGTATTTACAGAAGGTTATCTCTGTTTATAGCCTAAATCCATTGCTCCATCTTTATGCACAAGTTTTCTCTGTGTAACTTCTCCCATTCTGAAAACTGCCCAACAAGACATATTCAGGACGACTTGCGACCCCGTGTGGTAAGACGTGGGAAACAACAGTCTGTGAACATGATTTCACTTTCTGTTTTGGTTGAAGTGAAACACGGAGAACAGAAGTTCTGTCTCCTGCTGTGGTTTATCTTTGAATCTTTTTCGTTCCAGTGGATAACAGGAGGAATTAACCCTCCATGGACAACACGGAGGGAACACGCACCTGCGGCCTGTGGTGAGAGTTCACAACAAAACTGCATTTTAAAAATCTCTGTGTTTAAGATTCTTCTGATTACTGGCTGGTGAATAAACAGAATATAGGACGCAAATCAAAATGGACTTTTCAGCAGTAGGTGGGTCACACTTCGGCTAATACGATGACTTGTTATCACAAACTCCTCACAAGGAAATCTCCTGCTGGGGAGGGGGG